GGGAAGGATTCGCATTGTCAAAAAGTCATGAATGGGTTCAAGCATTTGCTTTTGTTTTTGTTTTTTGCTTCTCTCATGCATGAGGCAATTCCCCATGTCCCAAACTCAAAGATTTTATTGTGAAATTATATATGGAACTTCAACGTTCTTTCACGTTATCAGAGCATATTAACATACGGTTGAAGTTTAAAATTACTTGTACTTCATATTATTCGCCATTTGGTGTCCACACATTTCGCTTCAATGTCCCACCTTGAAAAGTTAAGTACCTTGCATGAGTTTATAAGGAGTTGGACTCCTTCCATTATTAACTGGTTTGAGATAACAGGAGCTCTCAAACGCTAACCAGCTAGGAAGTGAATTATATGACGCTAATCGCTTGTTTGGACCCACTCCACAACAAAATATTATCACGCGAACCATTCATTTTAAAGATCATCATTCGAATATCACTCTTGCAAAAAATTAGTTCAGCTTTCATCTCTCTAACTAGGAGCAGTTTTCTCTCTAGCTATGAGCATTTTTTGTTTTGACATTCCCCAAAATAATTTTACAAAGGCGAATTCAGAACAAAGTTATTCTCGTACAATGATGCTAGCCATTATTAAATATTGAACTCATCACAAATATATATTACTTTTATATCCATTTAAGTCGGAAATGAGACTTCCTCCAACCAAGTAGCGACTACTACTCTTAAACCCGAGTTGGTCTAACTATTAGCATTTTACCATATTATTTATTGAAAATATTAACTCTAATTCTGAATCGCATGTGGATTGCCTTTAAGCATTAAATTGTGATACTCTTACAGAAAGATTAGCCAACAGATTCATGAATCTGTGGACTGGAGCACTAATGTGTTACTTTTGGATAGTTAATTAGTTAAATTTATTCCACTAAACAAATTGCATCACCAAATCAATTGCTTTGTTTTTTCTAGTGACCTTGTTCCAAGTTGCATAGGTCATGCTCCATTTGTTGGGCCAAAGTTTCTCCCACACGTTCCCTAAAGCTGATTAATTGCATCATCCCTTGCCCCCAAGTAGGTCCCTTGCTTTGTTGAACTTTTGCATTATTATGTTATTTCATGGTGAACCTTGTGGTGAGCATGACAATACCAAAGCTCATAAAATGAAACCTTGTTTTCCTAATTTACATATGCTCCAAATATCTTAATTTTGTCGAAAAAATCGAAAAAAATTAAGTCATTGCTCTTGAATTACAAAACTGTGGAAATTAAAACTATATGAACCAAATTAAAAGCTCGCACAAATTACATAAATTGAAATTGTAACTGATCTCATTTTATAAAAATTCTATTATGTTCTGATGTATCTTAAAACCGAAGTTTTTGGTTGTTATAACTTTGGTCATTTGATGCTGAAAGATACTAGCTAAAAGATTCCCTCATACCTCAGCTCTCATGTCATGAATAACGTATATTACTAGAGCTTCATATCACTTTGTGCTCTAGTTGTTGTTAACACTCACATGTAATTGGGGAAATTTGGAAAAATAACCAAAATTTGGACCCCATATAGAATTATAGCCATCCTTTTAATGTTATTATAATTAGAACCAAAAGTTGATATAAAAATACTGATATACCCTTTTAACAATGAGGGACGCAATTATGCCCACCATTGCAAAGATTAGAGCTGTTGTGGAGCAAAAAATAATCCAGAAAAATATGGAGGCGACACGTGGATTCTAGGGTAAAAAGAACAAAATTACCCTCGAGACACATCGGAATTCCTACGCGCGAGCAGTAGACAATCATCCCTCAATCAAGTCAAAAGTGCCCAAATAGGTATTTATTATAACCTATTTCATCTGTCCCTCATCATATCTTCTCCACAAGGTAACCCCTAAATCATTCATTTTTTATTATATTAATTAGCTAAATTAATTGATTAATTATTCAATTAATTAGCCAATTAAACACAAATCATGAACCTAGCCCACAAAACCATCCAAGTGGCCGGTCCATCTCTTCCCAAGGTGGCCGGCCACTCCCCTATATAAACCCCCTCATTCTCTCCAAAACTCAATTCCAATTCTCTTGCTAAATTCTCAAAATTTTAACTTTGACAACGGAGATTCTTCGGTCAAAGCCCCCCTCATTCATCGTTGGAGCATGAGGTTCTTGGCCTTAACCTAAGGTGTTATTTGTTTTATAAGTGCAAATTTGTCTAAGAACAAGGAGAAAGAAATTTGCATTCACAGTTGTAACCACAAAACTCGTTTGGGTGTTATCTTATTCCAACACCTTTTCTTCTGGAAATCAACTCCGCAAACAGTTGATCTACAAAAAGCACAATCCTTTTTCTATAAATCTTGTTACAGATCAGAGCCCAATTTGATTTTAACATGTACTTCAATCCAATTTGATCTTCAACAAAGAGAAATGCAAGAGGGACAGAAAGGGGGAGAGCTTACTGCTTAGTGGTTACCTAAAATAAATGATATGATTGTCTTCGAAAAACAAATTGTAATGTTGCGTGAGGCTCAAACCTCTGGGTTTTGCTAGGATGGGAAGAAGATGACAAAGATTGAGATTTTTGAAAAATTTAGAAAAGTAATTGTTAATATCAGATGGAAAAATAACCAAGAACTTAATAAAACTTCTCATCAGAAATTGGCTGAGCTTTTGAGCTTTTTGAGAGGGTTAGAATTGTCTAGGTTGCTGAAGTGAGGCTTTGAATTTCTTTGGATTTGTTTTGTAAAAAGTTTTAATCATAAGAGTGTATAAGTACTTTTATATTAGATTTTAGTTATAATTATCATAAATTTAAAATAGTGGCTATAATTCTATGTAGACGTCTAATTTTAGTTATTTTTCTAAATTTTCCATGTCATTTCAGCTAATATTGAATCACCAAAAAACACATCACAACTTGCTCAGTGCTGCTTCCTTCACCCCAATCCTCAATAATGCGAACAACAAAATCTTACAGACATATTTGCATGATTTCAATGGTTCCAACCACTCATAAAATAAAAATAAAAAATAAATAAAATAAAAAAGAGCTCTCTCTTTCTCTCTCTCTCTCTCTCCCCATTTCCCTCAACAACGGGACACCTAGGGATGAGTTCGGTTAGGTACCGTTTGATATGCAGAAAAGACAAAACGAAATGGGACAGGACGGAACAGGACGGACCGAATGATGTAAATATTGAAAAAGATAAGGAGAAATTTTGTCATAAAATGTTATAAATTTGTGTTCCACAGATGTGGAACGGGTCGTTCCAGAGAAAGAGGTGAAACGAAAAATTAGCCAAATTTCAATTCGTTCCACAGTTTTTAGACGCAACAAACGTGGGACGGACACGTACCAACGCTACATTAGGTAACCGAACCGAAACACATGTACCGACTACCAAACCGAAGTTTTCGAAATGGCTATTTTCAGAACTGTTTGTGGTGTTGAGGTGGCTTGGAGGTCGTGATGCGAGAGCGAGATGGAGATGGACGGCGGATATGGAGGTCGTGCATGAGGCCACGGTGGTGGCTTGGTCGGAGAGAGAGACTCGATCTACAAGTGGGGTTGCATGAGAATTTAGAGGAGATGAGAATCCTAAAGAGAGGTTTGAATATTAATATGGGAGGAGAAAATAATTGTGGTGGCTGAAATGCAATGGTGGTGATAACTAAATTGCGGTGGCGGTGGCGATAAGGGGGTGGGAGGAGGAATCTTGGTGGTGGCGGTTGGGGGCGAGAGAGAGAGAGAGAAAAAAGATATGGTGATGCGGCGGCCGGAGAAGTTGCTGAGAAGACCAAAGTGAGGGCGTCAGAGTCGAGGGAGGAGGAAGTGATATGTGGTGGCTGAGCGAAGACCTAGGAGAGAGGGTTAATTTTAACGAAAGGCTGACATTAAATCTTAGGGAAATCCAACGGCTAATATTTACTTAATTCAATAAATAAAAAATAAAAAATATTTTCATTTTGGATCGATTTTACTGAACAAACCCTTCGTAGAAACCGAATACCATACTTACCCAACTGTTCAAGATTGTCGGATTAGCTTTTTTTTTTTTTGAAGTTTTAACGAAAAGTCTACGGTACTGTTTACTTTAACGAAAAATCATATTTTTACACTAAAAAGTCAAACTTGGTACTATTCACTTTACCCTTTATTTTGTTCTTATCATTAAAACTCAAAGTTTTCAAGTCATTTTCATTAATTTTTCTTATTTTTTTCAACCCTAGGAACACCGATGCTTTTTTCCATCTTCTTTTCGATTATAAAGAAGGAAAGTGTTATTCACACTTTTTTTTACTTCACACATATTTGTTAATTTATTGTTTTTAATTTTTTTTTTCAATTTATTCGATTCGACGATAAAAAATGAAGAGATGTATGTGAAAAGTAAAAATAATGTATAGATAACACTATCCTATAAAGAATTATAATGGTTGGTGGGAGGAGGATTCTTTACCCTCCTAATCTCTCTACCCTTCCATGTCTTCTTATTTGAACGGTCACGGTTAAGTCATGTCAACATCTTATATTAATTTTTTTTTATAAAGATAATAAGACAAAAAATAATGTGTAAGAAGAGGGGATGAAAAGAGATGAGAATAGGAGGGTAGAGAATTCTCTTCCTTCCTGCATATGATTGCATAATTTTGCATGCTATTCTTTCTGTATTAAGAATCAAAGAGAGAGAGAGAGAGAAAGAACATTGAAAAGTGATATTTTCTGTTTGATATATAGTTAGGAGAGGGATTGTCTGCCCTCCTATTTCCATACTCTTTTCATCCTCTCCTGTTTTGTGTAATCACGGTTAAGCCACGTCAACATTTTATATTCCTATTAATTTTTGTTTTATTATTTTTATAGAAAAATCAATATAAAATATTAATATATCTTAACCATGACCACACAAACAGAATGAGATGAGAAGAGTACGGAAATTGAAGGCCAAACAATCTACTCCATTCTTGTTTACTTATGCTGGCGTGTACTGCTAGTTAAATATATAAACAAACGCAATTTGACAAGAAAAGCTTGTGAGCACAAAGACCCCACGGGATTGATTGGTGGAGATCGTACAAAATGAGTTACATATGAACAGTGCATCCCAATAATTTACACTTACTTGACATCACAGTACAGAAGTTCTTTGTACAAGACATCTGTTGAATTTTATGTTAGTAACATGGTGGTACATTAAGTTCCAACATGTTACCAATAACATTTCACAACTATTTTCGTATTTTGACAGTAATGAAGGGTTGGGGACTAAATGGGGTCTTGTCAATTAATTTGAGATTTAGGTTTGAATCTTAGCAAACTCCAAGGTTTTCTTGCCTTGCAACTTGTTTGTTACATAGTGTTTACTGTATTCTCCATGATTGTATCTTCTATACTTGCATGGGTTGTTTTTATCCACCAATTCTGCCATTGGTCCAACCTCTATCTCATAGCTAGGAGCATAAAATGTCACAATTGAAAGCCTGTCTTCCTCCTTGTGTGTCACTGCTCTATGCTCCACACTCTTGTATTTCCCATTTGTAAGAACCTGCATTTCATTTTTCATGTTAGAAAAATAACAACAATCAAAATGCCACTTTTTAATAATCAATATCAAGAATTACGCAAGATTAGCTCATCAGTCCAAAGGCGCAAAGCACCCACCCTTCAATTCCGAAAAAGAGGGTGCCAATCCTTTCAGGAGCTTCCCGCTTGTCCTTAAAATTACGAGACATTTCTTATGCAACTATATTTTTACTCACTTCTATGGTGTCTCCAATGTTGATCACAAGTGCATTGGGAATGGGCTTAACAGGGACCCATCTGTCATCTTTGAGGATTTGAAGCCCCACTGAGTTGCCCTTCCCTTGCTGCAAAACTGTGAGGGCACTCCCATCTGAGTGTGGACTTAGTCCCAAAACTAGGTCAGGTCTTGAACATGGAGGGTAGTAGTTCATCCTTAGGGCTTGCACAGCCTCCCCAAACATCTTCTCAAACACATCACCTTTCAATCCAAGGCTCATGGCTATGTATTTCAGCAGATTCTGGCACAGCTTCCTCACTTCCTTTGAATAGACCTCTACACTTTCACTTGAGTGGGGGAAAACAAAAGAAGGAAAAAGTTTTAGACTTTAGATTTTAATAATAAGAAAAAGAAATACTTGGCCCTTCCCAATAGATGGACACAGTTGACCCATGAATATAAATTTTTTGCTTTGGGTTCTTACAACTATTATTGTCATTCTAAAAAATCATTATTCAGTCTAACTTTATAAAAACACAAAGCAAACTTTTATGCCTAGAGGAGAGCAGTCTAACTTTATAAAAACACAAAGCAAACTTTTATGCCTAGAGGAGAGCACGATGAACTTTTTCGAGTGTTAATAACAGTTTTCTTGAGTTTTTGATTAATTATATATGTATATGTCAAACTGTGATTTGCATGACAATCAATATGCCTAAAAAGAGAACATATTTTGAAGCGTGGAAGAAACTTTTACCTGAAATTTTCTGGGTTTGTTGGCCATAACATGGGGTTTCTTATAAAGTTTGGTACAACCCCAAGAGCAAACATGTTGCACCAGTCCAATTTCTGGTCTTCTGATAAAACAAAAGCCTGGCCATATCCCTGAACTGTCCCAGGAGCCATCGCATACTTCTTCTTCTCCTCCAAAGGCAGCATGAAAAATTCCTTGGCCACCTTCTCTATGCTCTCGAGTATACTCAGATCAATCCCATGATTAACCACCTGTCATAAAATAGCCACAACAGACCAGTAGTTAGCTTCCATGATTTGCCATGTTTTTCTGATGCAAGCATTATTTCTACACTAATTCATCTAAATCGCGGAAATGGAGTATGAGAGATTCAAACTTTGGTGTAGAGAGGAGAGCACATTGCTCTAACCAACTTGGCTACACCCAGATCTGTATTATCATGTTTTCCTTACAAGTAAACAGAAAAAGAGAGTTGTGTGGAATTTTTACCTGGAAAAATCCCCAGTTCTCACAGGCATTTACAAGCTGGGAAATCTCACTTTTGATTTCATCTTTGGTCCCTTTTGCAAGCTTTGAGAAATTGATGGTGGGAATGTCAGTGGAGAATGGCATGGGAGTGGCAAGTGCTGGCCTCTCAGTCATGTCCCTCACAAATCTCTCAGGAATAATAGAAGGCTTGGATTTTCTGAGTTCTTGGACATCGTCAATGTGACCAACCTTGATGGGATAAATGGGTACAGGGGCCATTGGGGAGGAAGCACAATTTGGAGGTAACAAACTAAATTCTCTTGATTTGGTTAGTTTGTATTTGATAGCTCTCAAGTCTTGTAGAAGCCTGTATTTATAGGGAGAGAATCATTGATGTTAGGCACCTTGTTTTGGTCTTTGTAACTTAATTTTGTGTTGTTACGTCAAACATTGGGTGTGTGAGCTTGTGGGGACCTAGATTCATGCACTTTCTAAAGTTAAGTCATACATGTAGCCCCTTGGACTAAGGACCAATCAAATAATTGGCTAGTATTGTATAAATTTTTCGGTGTCTGTCACACTGCTAAATGTTGTTCTTGATTTACTCTTCTATAATACTTGTCTACTTATAACAGTATGTCGATATCTTTTTTTTTAGAAGGGGATTAGCTGTGGCAAGTCCATATTTTTAAGGGCCGAGAGAAGACTCACATAGGTATTTCAGCCTTTCTCTTGTTACCATTGTGCAATTCACTAGCACCAGGTAACCGTGTGTTAGTGTCTACTTATTACTACCATATCATAACTACATAAAATATTAGCCATATCGTTTACATAAATTATATATAATTCATGAATTGATAACATCAAGTAACCGTGTGATTGTTAAACCTGATAATTTTCCCAAAGCATCCTTTATTTATTTTTATGGTATGGCACATGATGCAATAATTGTTGTTCTTGTAACCTGTAAGAGAAAGGAATCTAAGTTCCAACAGTGTGGTGTGGTGGTGGTAGTACAAGCAATTGTCTATTGTGGCAGACTTATATGGGTGATAGTAGTAGGGGCCATTCTCATTTTTGCAGACCAAATCTAGTGTTGTCATCATGTCTTTGTCCACCCTCATCATCCTCCGGTCACCGTACTCTTTTGCATCCCTAACAGCAATGTTAGAAAGATTAAATTTGTAAATAAAATTTTATAAATTAAATGACATAAAAATTAATGATTGGAATCATAATTATTATTTAAGCGTTGATAAACATGATCATTTCTAATTTATGACACATAATTTGGTTTGCAAATTTTGTCCACAAATTTAGGTTTCTTAGCATTACTCCACCCAAAATGAATGTGCCCTCTCTTTGGTTTTTATAATTTAGTGACAATGTCCACCCATTTAACAGTGTTAAATTGTTGTCATCTCCTTAAATTTCTTGATAAAAAAAAACACGTGTCCAAAATGCGAGTGTCCCCCCTCCTCTCGAGAATCACATGCTCTCTCTCCTCTAATCAGAGTGGGATTTTCATACTTTTTTTGTTGTACTTTTTATGTTTATTTTAGAAAATTGTTATTAACACTTTAAAATTCTCATTTGGCACTTCAAACTTTCTATAATTAGAAGAAAAAATACACTTATGAAGAGTGTAAAATGAAATTTTTAAAGTGCTAATAACAATTTTTTTTTTTATCATTTAGTTTATTGATTAGACTGAATGAGTTAAAAAGAAATTAACTGACAAACTTAAAACGAAAGTGCATGGGATTAAAAGGGAGTGGGGAAATCCAGAATCACTCCCTTTATATCAACTACAAGGGCAATCGTTTTTTTACAATTTAAAAGGCTAACTAGTTTATAAAAGTTCATAATATACTTGGTTAATTAAATTTTGGTGAATGTAAAGAAAAATTTGGACACAAAACTGTAAACAAGTCTTTGTAATCAAATGTTTTTGTGAGTTGTCAATGAATGAATTCGGACTACGGCTTCTACAATTCAACTTACCTGTTACAGGTTTTTTACATGGTATCATCCTTTTTGCAGACCCAATCTCAATTGGTATTCAGATGCCTTCATTTTTGCAGACCAAATCTAGTGTTGTCATCATGTCTTTGTCCACCCTCATCATCCTCCGGTCACCGTACTCTTTTGCATCCCTAACAGCAATGCTAGAGGGATTAAACTTGTAGATAAAATTTTATAAATTAAATGACATAAAAGTTAATAATTGGAATCATGAACTATTACTTAAGCGTTGATAAACATGATCATTTCTTATTTGTGACACATCATTTGGTTTACAAATTTTATCTACAAATTTAGGTTTCTTAGCATTACTCCACCCAAAATGAATGTGCCCTCTCTTTGGTTTTTATAAGTTAGTGACATTTGTCCACCCATTTAACAGTGTTAAATTGTTGTCATCTCCTTAAATTTCTTGATAAAAAAAAAACACGTGTCCAAAATGCGAGTGTCCCCCCTCCTCCCAAGAATCACACGCTCTCTCTCCTCTAATCAGAGTGGGATTTTCATACTTTTTATGTTTTTTTTAGAAAATTATTATTAGCATTTTAAAAATCTCATTTGGCACTTCAAACTTTTTATAATTAGAAGGAAAAATACACTTATAAAGAGTGTAAAATGAGACTTTTAGAGTGCTAATAACAATTCTTTTTTTTTATCATTTAGTTTATTGATTAGACTGAACGAGTTAAAAAGAAATTATCTGACAAACTTAAAACGAAAGTGCATGGGATTAAAAGGGAGTGCGAAAATCCGGAATCACTCCCTTTATATCAACTACAAGGGCAATCGTTGTTTTACAATTTAAAAGGCTAACTAGTTTATAAAAGGTCATAATATACTTGGTTAATTAAATTTTGGTGAATGTAAAGAAAAATATGGACACAAAACTGTAAACAAGAGTCTTTGTAATCAAATGTTTTTGTGCGTTGTAAATGAATGAATTCGGACTATGACTTCTACAATTCAACTTACCTGTTGCAGGTTTTTTACATGGTATCATCCCTCTCTCGATCCTGACCTCCTTCCCACCATGTCAACGTCGGCCTCCTCTCTTCCTGGCCCCAAGGTGGCACAATTTCTTAAACTTTCCGAATGCGACCAAGATGAAGTCCAAAAACACAATGAATTGAATTCTACAACTTGGAAACACCCGCCCCCCTATCGTTATCTTTTGGAGGAAACTCTACCCCCATAAAATTGCTTCACTCCATCACGACACTTGTCACAAGTTTCATTTACACACACACACACACACACACACACACACACACATAAATACAGACATTTGTTTTCATCAATCCATGTATGACCGAAGCTAGGGCACACCATGTCATGCAATAATATAGTTCTGTAAACTTTTATAATACATACATACATACATATATATATATATATATTGTTGTAAAATAAAAACTGAAAATATAATTTCTTTGCAAAAGACTACCAATTAGCTAAACTAACTGTCTCCATTTAATCGGGGGAGGAGGATTTGAGTTTGACTAACACAACTGTAAGTTTGAATCCGTTTATAGCGAGTTTGATATATCACGATAACTTGACTTATACTATTTTTGTAAATAGCTCTTCATTTGTATAGAGAAAAGAAAAACAAAATTATCATGGAAAAACAAGGTCAAAACAAAAGAAAATATTTTCTTAAAATAATCTGAGGAAGGTGACGATGAATATGCTAAAGGTAGACAAAGAGATATTCCAAAGCAAATAGTAGAAAGTAAATAGTAATGTATAGTTTGAATTTGCCATGCAATTTGGTTCCCTTTATTTAGCTAGCTTCTATTTCTTGTGGTCGATTGCTAGTTGTAGATATAATTAGGATTTTGCGATCTCGTAATTTTTTTATGTAATTTTTGTTTCTTTCAGATTTATGTCTCGTTGTCAACTAAAAAACATTTATATGAATGGGTGCTTTTTAATTATGGACGGCAACCTACATAACACCATTGAGAATTGAGATTGGGAGATGGTGGTGCATGATATGTTTGATTGTTTCTTTCTGAAAAGATAGAAGACTTAGGCACCGTCAATCTCAATTTATATGATTGATCTTGTTGTTTGCGCAAGCAATATCAACCGACTAAATATCAAGCCAGTTTTTCAAGGGCTAGAAAGAATCGTGCACCGATGCAGTCCATCAATTTTTAGGAGCTAGAAAGTGATGTGCACATGTGCAAAAACTTCAGATTGCTAAACGAGATTCTCTTCAAATTGAGATTTTTTATAAATTCTTTGCAATCTCATGTTTTTTGTATTATGTTTTATCATGTATGTGTGAAAAGTAAAGTTAAATTGTGAGGTGACACATAATCCATATAGAATTCTACTTTGAAAGAATTTCGTAAAATTTTCTACAAGTCAATGTTACCACTCCTTAGTTTATGTCACGCGTACTACACTTACATTTAAATATAGGTAGTTAATATTTTTAAAATTTGTTTCTCTTCTTTCCACATATGTCCCTAATTTAATATTCCAAATCTTAACCATACCATACTGTTCATTTTCTTCATTAATATTAAACATTTCCAATTCGTTAAGGACTCCCTTGCTTTTATTTGTATTTTTTATTTTTTTATACAAACGATACTGGCTAGACTAATGGGACATGGGTGAGAGGTCTTAAGTTTGAATTTCGTGAATAACGAATTTGATACCAAATTAGATTGTCCATTGTGTGGCTTAGTCGAACTCTCCATTCCTTAGTGTAAAAATATTGGTGTACTAAAAAAATGGCGGGTAAGTCGGTTAAGCCTCACAAAAGACTAGTAAAAATGTGGTTCAAATTCGACTTTGATAAGAATCGAACCACATCTTACTTGCAAGTGAAGAGAAATAACATTAGATCGTAATAAAAAAAAGAAATTAAATTAAAAAAAAAAGAACAAATTGTAATGTTTAATATTAATGAAAAAATTAGAAGTATTGGTGCGATTAACATTTGGGTTATTAAGTAGGGGCATATGTGAAAAGAGGATAAACAATTGAGTGGAAAATGCAAAAAGGAAAGGTAAGAGGGAAGGTAGTTAGAAATTATTATTGGTTACCAAACGTCGTCGTTTGACCGTTCATGTTATAAACCAGAAAGATCCCTCGTGTGTGAGAGCGCGCGAGACAGATGAGAAACCCGTTGAACCAAAATCTCATTTTTGCCTTCACCGCCTCAAACCTTTCCCGCCAAAATAAACCGTCAAATTTTCATCTCGTTGAACAGCTCCGGCACTGTAAAGATTCCGGCTCCGCAGAGTCACTGCATTCCGCCGCTATAAAATCCGGTTATTTATATGACACTTTCACCACAAACCATGTCATCAACTGTTATGTTAGGCTCCGAAGAATCGACCTTGCAGGCCAACTGTTTGATGAAATGCCGGAACCAAACGTTGTGTCGTGGACCTCGCTCATGGCCGGTTATGTCGACACGGGTCAGCCCGGAATGGCTCTCTGGCTCTTTGGGAAGATGCCCGAGTGTTCGGTTATTCCCAATGAGTTCACATTCGCGACTGTGATTAATGCGTGTTCGATCCTTGCTCATCTCAGAACTGGGAAGAAAGTTCATGGGCTTGTTGAAGTTTTGGGTTTTCAATCTAACCTTGTTGTTTGCTCTTCGCTGGTTGATATGTACGGGAAGTGCAACGATGTCGATAATGCTCAACGGGTTTTTGATTCGATGAGTTGTAGGAATGTTGTTTCTTGGACTTCAATTATTTGTGCTTATGCACAAAACGCGCAGGGGCAGGAAGCACTTCAACTTTTTCGAGAATTTAATCGATTGATGTCGGAGCGCCCGAATCATTTTATGTTGGCTAGTGTTGTCAATGCTTGTGCAAGCTTGGGTAGATTAGTTTCTGGGAAAGTTGCACATGGATCAGTAATTCGGGGTAGCCATGATTCAAATGATGTGATTGCAAGTGCACTGGTGGACATGTATGCTAAATGTGGGTGTGTTGAATATTCTGATAAGGTTTTCCGGAGGATTCGGAATCCTACTGTAATACCCTACACTTCAATGATTGTGGCTGCAGCAAAGTACGGACTTGGGAGAATGTCTCTTCAACTCTTTCAAGAAATGATCGATAGAGGAATAAAACCAAACAATGTCACCTTTGTTGGGGTTTTGCATGCTTGTAGCCATTCAGGGCTTGTAGATGAAGGCCTCCAACACTTGGAATCTATGTTTGAGAAGCATGGAATATTACCGAATGCAAAGCATCATACGTGCGTCGTTGATATGCTTGGTAGAACTGGCCGGCTCAACGAGGCTTACGAACTAGCCAAATCTATCCAAGCAGAACCAAACCAAGAGGCCTTGTTGTGGGGCACACTTCTTTCGGCGAGTAGGCTTCACGGAAGGGTAGACATCGCTGTTGAAGCTAGCAGACGGCTAATAGACTCTAACCAACAAGTAGCGGGTGCATACGTCACATTATCAAATGCTTACGCATTGAACGGAGAGTGGGAGAACTCTCATGATCTTAGGTCAGAAATGAGGCGTACTGGAGTGCAAAAAGAACCCGGGTGCAGCTGGATTGAGGTCAAGGACTCAACTTACGTATTCTACGCCGGAGATGTGTCATCCTGTGCGCGAGGGAGCGAGGTGGTGGCTTTGTTGAGGGATTTAGAAGGGAAAATGAAACAAAGAGGGTATGTAGGAGGGAGTTTGGGACTGGTCTTTGTCGATGTGGAGGAGGAGGCCAAGGAGGAAATTGTAGGTTTGCACAGTGAGAGATTAGCGTTGGGATTTGCGTTGATAAGCATACCGAAAGGAGTGATCATTAGAATAATGAAGAACTTGAGAATGTGTAGGGATTGTCATGAAGCTTTCAAGTTAATTAGTGAGATTGTTGAGAGGGAATTTGTTGTTAGAGATGTTAATAGATTTCATCACTTCAAAAGTGGTTCCTGCACGTGTACGGATTTTTGGTAATTAGTATCCAGTTTGTGTTTATATACTTAATGATTACGGATATTTAATAAGGAAAACTAATGAAAATGGCTTGAAAACTTTGAGTTTTAATGATAAGGACAAAATAAAGGGTAAAGTGAATAGTACCAGGATTGACTTTTTAGTGTAAAAATATGATTTTTCGTTAAAGTAAACAGTACCGGGAGCTTTTTGTTAAAGTTCCCTATTTAATATTGATCCCCGGAAGGCAATTTTTCTCTATGCAGGATGTCCAGTCTTTCTTAAAGACATTGCGCACTGAAGAAACCTCGCTTCTCAATTTTTCGTTGAATACGATCTCATTTATTGACATGGTTGCTTAAACACTTAAAACCTAAATAATAAACGACACCAAAGTTGAAGAAAATTGAGAAGATTTTTTCAAGACGTCCCAAATAGAGAATCTCTTTCTCCCAGAGGACATGAAAAACCCATGAATTCTCCAAAAGTAGCAAAAGACGTCTGACCCTTGCATTGCCTTATACAAACAACGTTTCCAATCTCCAAGTTCGGATTAAACTTCTGCCAAATTCACAAGCAGCCATCTTTCCATTAACAGTCTAATGCTCATCATGTCGGAAAGTTTTCAAACAGAGATCTCCTACTCCGGCAGTCCATGAGAGCTGTTCAACCATACGGGGCTGACGCCTCGAGAAAATCTTCAAGAAAGAAAATAAATTCCACAACTCAAAAGAATTAAAATGATGATTAGAACAGATAACTCCGATGATGCAAAAATGCTGATAGCTGTATTATTACTTTAATCGTTATTGTTTATGTACGATAAATAGTGCACAAATCCTGGAGGCAACACTGAAAAGAATACTCAATGTTGGAGTAAAAAGAAAAACAAGAGAAACAGAAAATACATGTAAATAACCAGCACCTGCTGCTGCCAGCGACCAAAGTCAGCACCCAATCAAAACCGGTAGAGTAACACTGATTCGATAAAACCTGTATACTGTGGAAAGTATCCGGCTTCCTCATCATAAAAGAACAAAACTAGATATTAATTCAAATCTACATATTTAACGTTTCAAGGCAAGAATCAAATCAAGAAAAAGCTTGCCTATCTAGCACGACTGATGTACTACACCTACATCACAGAAGAAAGACTGTTATCTTACTACGTTTAAAAATAACAGAAAGAACTATTCGTATATAAGCTGCCAGAATAACAATCAACTGAGAGAGAGAGAGAGAGAGCAACACCACCATGGAATTATGGGAGAGTGGTTACTGAAAGTGGTGTACACAGGTATGAACACCCTTAAGCATGGCTGCCTCTACAAAACTTTATCGCTAAACATATCAAAACGGAACTCAGCCATTTAAATTTGTTGTGCACTGAAATTCAATATAAAGCAGCCATATCAATCACCAACATGGATAGATCTACAATTTTGCGAAACGTAATTGGTAGAACCTCATTCGCTCATTGTAAATCTAACGCTGATAACTCAACAATCAATGGCGACATTGGCAAAATACAAGCTTGCAAAACAATGAATGACACCACATGGAATACAAGTGAAAGTAGCATGAAAACCAACAAGTTGAGTGCCACGGAAAAAATGAGTATGTTCACTCAGTTGATGCAATAAGCAAACCAGTCTGACCAACACCAGGACCATTTGAACTGAAACTACAGTCACGGCTCATGAACCACAGCATAAGATATTATTACTGATAATAGAATAGCAAACTGCAAGCTTAACATAAACCAAAAACAACAACAACAAAGCCTTTTCCCACAGAAAGGAAAATTATATTTCTAAGTTACTCGTGAGCAACAACTCCAACCGAGAAAAAAGAACCCCTTGTAAATTTTTGAAACTAGATATAGAACTTCAACTCTTAAATCTCAGTGTATCACAAGTAGATAGCATGAATTGCGAAAACAATTTCATGTGTACACATCAAAGCACAAGTTATTGATGCAGAAGTAAACTGACACATCCTACCGCATACAAGGAAAAATTTATTATTAGAACAACACATGAATAATATAGGGTAATTCTTGCAATAGAAAAACATTTGAAAACCTGCTTTTCTTACACTTGGAAGTCTTGAACTCACATGCAGCGATGGTCCTAGAGTGTACTCCACCACGTAGGTCACAAGTCTGAACTTCTCAGGGGTTGCTCAACCAAAGTTCTTTGATTATCACCTACACCAACATAAAAAAGTTCCAAGGTAACTTCAACATATTGATAAATACATTACTCGAACGACTCCTCCCTTGTTGCCATTAAAGTGAAGTAAAATATTACATACCTGAAGATTTCATTCATGCGTCGGTCCTTGGAAAGCTGGCACAATCAACAAAAGCTTAAGCTTTTTTTCTACAAGTATAAGGGGAACCTTGCCCAAGAATTTGGTTTGCATTCCATCAAAATTTTAATAAAACAAAATAAATGCTTGATAGAGCATTGACCAGTCACCACAATATCAGTATTCAACCTTCTCAAAATGGTTGCCTAAGAATATTCTTCAAATCCCTATAGACATTTTTTAAACCCTCAAGCTCCAAACTACAGGAGCCCAAAAAAACATATATAACTGAACTATTACAATATCTCCGAGCTGTGCTCCCGAACAATTAATTCCTCTTTTCCCAACCCATGAAAACTTATGGCTGAGCATGATGTGCCCTTGTCGGTGTCAAAAATAGACTTAACTTGCAAAAAAATACATTACAAAAATTGGTAATCAATCTCACTTTGTACACATGTACAGAAGAGTAATGAACTGTCAGAAACCAGCCTTCTATGAAAATTTTCAAGTGAAGGTCCAGGCGGGCATCCTTTCTCCTTTTTTTTCCTGATGCCTGCCTTCTTAGGAGAGAAATCATGAAAACGTTCAATATATACAGGGTTGACTTAATCTCTGGCACCACCAAATTTGGATCGACTTATGGCCTCCATTGCAAGCTTAACCAGACGGATAAGCTCCTCTAAATCTTGGAAGCTGAAATCCATGACCCTCCTAATAGAAGAAATAGAACCATTCTTATGTGCATCTCCCAGTTTTGTGCAAGCAGCTGCAAAAGCATTCTGGGATTTCCTTGAGGCTTCCATTGCAAAATTTACATCCTGTGTCTGCAAAATAATACATACTCATCTTAAAACCATTACCATATACTTAAATCTGTGCGAAAATATCTTACTGGTCTTAAATGAGATGGGATGACCTACGAATTTATAATCCAACTAAGTACTTTAAAAAACAGAAGCGAAAAAGAAACTAGAATGAGCCTACTGTCAAAACCCTGCCAACTAAAAGTCCTATATATGCACTGAGTTAGCTGTCAATTAAGAAATAATCAACTTTCAAGATAATCACAAGTCACTCAAGATGCTTATAGGAAAAAAATAGGCTTGCTTGGAAGCTTTCATACAATAGTTTTTTTTTTCTTTTTCTTCGCTGAAACTCCAATAACAATTGGCTAATCTAGGAAAACATGCAATACCCAGTGGCTGGAAATTTTAATTCAGCTTCCTAACACTTTTATCCAGTATACATCCATGATTCATAGTACTGAATCTTTGGTCCTGAATAAGTGAGTATCAAAATACCTTGAAAGAACAATTCTTAGCAAGTTCATAAAATTCATATTGAGACCGAGTGACTGAATCAACTTACAAAGTCAAGCAGCCTGACAAAATTAGAGCGGTTACGAGCAGCAACAACATGGTTTCCAAAAACATGAGAACCAGCTCCGTTGGACAATATAGACTTTTCTGCCATCAATTGGTTGTTCAAGTTATCTAAATCTGATGCAGAAGACGATGGAGACTCACCTGAACAGAGAGTTTAAAGACAGGAAAAAAAAAAAGTTGAGTTGTTTGATATTCTTTCTCAGTAGAAAGGTCAGAAGACACCAGATTTGGACCTCCTGCTGTTTTTATCAACAGAAGCTATCAGGTACATTTTTATCAGAAATGACAGATAGATAATGGTAGATATTTTATTATTAGTTATATGATAAATATGTTTCTGCAAATAACAATAACAGACAGTATCTCTAAAGACTTGACATTTTCAAGTAAACATGTAGTGAATTGTAAGTGATACAAGCAAGGGGACCACATGATTGTTCAGTAACATAAACGTTCAAACTAGAATAAATAACCTATAACTTGAAATCGCAACCATCTCCTAGTGGAAGAACAAAACTGAAACTTGACATGAAATCCAAAGATTATCGCATAAATCATTCATAACCTCCTTACCTAGAGGAGCCATATTGAAAGTCGCTTGCAACTCACGCCGATCTCTGTTTGTACTAGAATGTTTACAGTAAACCACCCTCATGTATGCCACCTCCATGCATTTATAGGCCAAGGCAGCAGAAGCCACTTCTTTGCGGCTTTCATATTCATGGGCACATAATCTGTGAATTCAAAAGGTTCAGCACAGAGCCAAAACCGGCTATAGGAATGCAGAAACAAAAGCTTCAAAACTGTATGGTACATTACGTATTTTATTAAAATTAAAATGGGCCATCTCTGCATTAAATAATAGCTAATTGAATCTATTAGCTGAGAAATAAGTCATCTGGTCGAGAAACATCTATTTCTCTTAAAACTGAGAGCATTTAACTTACTCGCAAAGTTTAGCTGTAGTACTGTACACTTGCAACGTAGTTATGTCTCCATGTTTGCCATTCTCACTACTGCAACTTTCTAAAAGCACAGCTCCTTGGAGATACTTCAGGGCAGCTTGAAAATAAGCCTCACTACTTTCAAAATCAAACCCAGAGTTCTAAAACATAGTAAAAACACAGTATGAGTTAAGAGAACAGAAAAACAAATTTGTATCCATTATGTTATGTACTAAAGATAAGCTAAAAGTCAAATGAGAACAGGAAACCTTAAGATAATCAGCATAGTCTCTAAGCCTCTTGGCTTCTATCAAGGTATTAGTAGTAGTTTGGCCTGAGGAGTTTCTCACAGGACTTGGCGCACTGACATCTAATGCTCTCTGTTGATCAGGCATGAGATGTACTAAATTGAAATTAACTCCATTCTTGTTAGCAGCAGTCCCAGCCTGCTTTAGTGACTTTGGCACATCACCACTGACAACGGTATCAACTGGAAGCCCTTGAAACACTTCTACTCTCTCAGATGCTGCAATAGGTTGGGGGCAAAGAGATGGTGTTTCTTCTTTCCTTTCATCTTGGCAATGTGAAAACAATTGTGGTTTCCCACATCTTGACTCATGTTGCATCTGACCGCCCTCATGATTCTGAATCAGGTTCTGTTGCAGGGCGCCCTTCCTATTAGGGCCCTGTGTAGAACTAAACTTCACATCTGACACATCATAGTCCTTTCGTTTTAGTTGAGTTTCCACTCCACTGTCACTTGACCCATGTCCTGCATTATCCCCCCTACCAATATGATAGTTTTCATCCTTGACCTCAACCCACTTAGTGCTACACTTATCAGGAAGATCGTGTCTAATATTATTCCCTTTTTCATGAACATAATTGGGTTCCATCTCAGACACATATCTTTGACTCTTCTTCAAGTAATCATTCACTGGATCAGAAACCTTCATCCTGTTCCTATCCAAATTAGAAGTGCCACTTCTAACAATGTCCTTAGACTGCAAACAGGAACCCTTGCCAGATTTTTGCACACAAACAGCATCTCCAGAGTGGTTCTTGTTCTCTCTATCATCTTCATGTGAATGATTCATGACATGCTGATTACTGAGGCACTGACCATTTTCCAAACCATCATCATTACCACTGAGCAAATGGCTATTCCAAACTTCACAAGAAGGTTTGGCAGTGACATTGAATTCACCATTGGCATCTCCATCCTGGTAGCCTACTAATGAAAATTTATGGGATTCAGTATGACTACTACACAAAATTGATTCCTTCTTGGTTGTCCCCAATCTATCAATGTTACCAGTTCCATCCCCGCCCCAGCATCTTTCGGAATTATTTGTTAAAGGAAAACCACCATAAGCGGAATCATCTATCCCCAAAGCATCTCCCCTTGCTGAAGTAAGCCTGTCTGCATTGGAGGTCCTCAAAGGAGATGAAGAAACTGATTCTACAGGTGAGCCTTTTACTTCTTCAAAGTTAACTCTAGTTTTATAGGAACCTGAAACCTTTGAAGAGCTTGAAGTGGCAGCCAAAGAAACATGCCCGGATCCCAAATCCCTTCCCAATAAATTTACACCATTGAATGTTTGTTGAGATGCGTTCTTTTTACTATGTTTCTTGGGTTGCTGGTCTTTTACAATACCCCTATCCTTTTCCGCAAGATGAATTGAATGAACTTTGGTGCCTGACATGACAATCTGGGTTGCTCTGCTTTTTCTATTTGATCTATCATCTCCATTGCTAGTACTAGACTCTTTACGATCAGACTTCAGAATCCTGGACTTCTTCTCCTTCCGATATCCGCTTTCACCATTTTCCTCCTTGGTACATACCTTCCCTTCATGCCCAAAATCTTGAAATGTCTCCACATTATTCTGAGAATCCTGCCACTCTCTCATCTTTCTTTTCTTCATGGAACTATCTCTAGTACCTGTTCTCACGTCCAAAGCCCCACCATGCAAGGAGACCTGAATTTGGTCTTTCAATTTCTTTGCAGAAACTTGTAATTTGTACTTGGCAGGCTTGGCTACATCCTTTGTGTCTTCAGAATGACAGAGGTCATTGTATTTGGCGTCCTGACCACGTGCCTGGGTTAACAAACCAGCACTTGAACCGACACAAACCTTTCCAACGTCAACATTAGAATTCGGGTTCTTATCAGCTTGCCCCATATCTCCTCTCTTCGGTTTCTTAGAAGTTCCAAATGTATGCTGATCATCCTCCTTGTTTTTCAATCTTACTACCTTGGCATTACCTGCAGATATAGAACAACCCAAATAAATACAGGCACTGGTTACTACTTTTGCATAAACATGTTATGGCAGTAGGAAAGGGAAACTTTACAGATAATCGCATACCTCCACTTGTTTGCTTCTCCTTCTGCTTAGGTATGCTTTTTTCAATTCCCAAGTTTTGCAGCTTGCTCATATGTCGAGAACTAGATTTCTTTATCAGATTTGATTCTAAAGGAGGCTGGTTTATGTCATTTGAGCTTATTCTTTTTACAGCTACTTGCAGGTGGTTCTTTGTAGAGTTCAAGAGACCACTTCCATTACCTGCATTTGGTATTTCCCTTGAACCATGTATCTTCTTCCCTTGATTAGACATGGCATGAGAACTGAGATTCTGATCATAATGTAGGGCATCAACTGCAAGTACTGCAGATGCTGTTCCATTAGCATGAGTCTGCAGCTTATTTATACCTTCTGAAGATGGCATCTGGTATAATGCATAGAGTGCTTTGGTTGTTTCCTCTTCACTTATGTCACATTGATTCATCCCGGGCCTACAAAATCATTTCAATACCACATTGAAAAGGCAGCAAAACAGGCACACATATGCTCATGTGATTACTCGAATATCTGCGTGTGTGTGTGTGTGTGTGTGAGAGAGAGAGAGAGAGAGAATGAAAAAGAAAAGGTGTGCAAATGTTATTGTCAACCCCAACAATGAGAAGGAAGCTTACAGCCAATTAAGCATGCTACACAACCACTTCTCAGGGAGTTGCTCCGGCTTAGTACCGTAGGGTAGAAGCCGCCACGTATGACAACTATCACAGCACACCCAATCTTCTGCTATAATGACAGGAGCTGCAGCTGCAGGTACGAGCTCCAAAGCCAGTCCATTTTCCTTTGTTCGTTGGCACAGAATGGGAGCATCTTTTGACAGTAACCTATTCTCGGACTTTTTGCCACTCAATTTTTCCTTTGGTTTATCCAAACATGCCCTCCCTTTTATATCAATATCAGCAGCAGGTCTTTCTGCTAGATCCACTTTATCCCTTTGTTCCAATCTTTTGCCCCACACTGAGACTCTTTGATTACCACTGACCTTATCCTTCTTTGACTTTGACTTCTGAATTTTTATATCAGATGGACAAACACCATGACCTCCACTCAATTTATCTGTTGGTAATACACCTATTTCAAACTCCATGCGTTCCTTTGTTGAAATATTAGGTGGCTTTTCATTGGTTTGATTTTCCTTTGACTTGATCTTGCCCTCAGAAGATAGCTTTGCTCTCTTGCTATGCACATTAGTTTTTGCTTGTTCACATGATGGACCTTTCTTACCAGCATTGCGTTTGGGCAGGTCATGCTCTTCCTTGCATTTGTATACATCAGAATCATCTTTTGCGGCTGAAATCTTGTAACCCTTGCACTTGACATCATCCCTGAGATCAACTGGAAAATCCTGATTAGATATCAACTCAAATGACTCTTCCTTCACTAATTCAGAGGAAGATAATTTTCCTTTCACCTCATTCTCATTGGCCTCCCTGGAAGCTTCAGGTGTCTTACCAATCACTTTCAAACAATTACCAACAAATACTGAATTGGACAAAGGTGTCGCTTTCAAGTCATTGGGCACATGCTCCTTGTCTTCTCGACTCCCAGCTTCTGATTTCTTTTTCATGATAATTTTCGTGTTATTCTTGATACCATTCTCAAGCTTCAGTGCTACCGGACTTTCACCCTTCCTGGATACTTTCATTTTTATCTCCTCTGACACTTTGGCGTTCCCCTGTGTGAAAACAGTGTCATCTACAGACAAAGATGAATGTTCTTGATGACCCTTAGATGAAGGCACTGGTTTTTGTTGATAAAGCCTTGTCTTTCTTGCTAAGCAAAGCAAACTGTCATGGAGTGGTGATAACAATGCATCACCAAGAACAGGGAAGGAAGTCATAACCTGTTACAAAACATAAACAACGCCCATCAATGCAACAGATCATTTTAGGTCCATCCACAGCTATAGAAACTGCACTAAAACATCTGAGCTTACCTGAATAATGTTAGTGGTAGTGTCATCCACAATCACTTGAGATGGAGGTATCATCTCCTTACATTCCTCAGGGCTGTTCTCCGAAGATGAAGATGGAGAGCTAAGTCCAAGACCACTATATATTGCTACATTCTTCCGAACCGTGTTATCAGGGTTCATTTTGATTCGAACCTTCAGTGTCCTTTGATCAGTTGGATTCCCCTGTCTGTTTGAAGTTTCATCTTTCAAGGAACATCCCTCAGCTACTTGTGCAAAAGGCAGGCATGAATTCCGTTTAACTGAAATATCTCCAGGGAGGACCCTTGAATTATGTGACAAATGAGCATTGTTAGCAGTTCCAAGCCTCACATTTGGGGCTGCTTTTGAATAAGATTTCAGATTCTGAGGGGCACCCTGTATGTTAACATAACCCACAAATGCTCAACTAAAATAGAACTTTCCAATCTGACAAGATCTCAGCCATAAATAAATCCTTCCTACCAAAAAACAAATAAGAAGAATTTTATCATATACCTCTGTTAAACTTTTAGGAGATCTTGATGCGTTGTAGTTTATCTGTGGGGTCCTTGGATGAGACAAAATGGACGAAGACCTTTCATGGGATGGTAAAAAAGAGCCATACCCACCGTATTTTGCCCCTGACAGAACAGTAAAGTCCATCCACCTGATGAGTCACTAAATTTACAAGGACAAATATGCAGCACTGTCTACTACTTTCATGTATGTCACTTACCCAAAGTCTCAACAGAATTCCCGCCCTCAAAATCCTTCTGGAAATGGCCCAGAGCATTCTGAATTCTCTCATCCTTGACAAAATCAAAAGATAGTGCCGTTACATAAAAAAAAAATTTATTGAAGTGTCATTACATAGATAAGATCAGAAAAAAAAAAAAAAAAAAAAAAAAAGACTAAAACCACAATGTCTGTACAGAAACACAAAGGGTAATTACAGAACGTTGCAGAAGAAAATCCTACTTTACTTTCATTCTTTATTTTCTAAAGACGCTGATTGTCTAAACTTGTCTTACTGTTACCTAAAACCAGCTTAGCCCATCATGGGATTTGTTCACCTATCTGGCAATCAATAACGCTTTTCAAAGTTATTTTGATAGCCAAGACGACAAAATCGAGGAAGTGAAAACTAAATGTTAGTTTCAGAGACAAACATTTGGCCTACTAAACTCAACTCAGCTACTCAGCATTTGGAAATTTATAGGGGGTTTAAATATTTTGTTATCTTGGACACTGAACAAACAAGTATTGAGTTCAAATTCACTAATGCTTTCCTTGGATCAATAACCATATAAGTAATCTATGAAGCATCAAAATGAAAAAAAGAAAACTTCGGCTCATTTAAAAACTCTATATACCACAACTCATAGTCAATAAATGGTACCTATGAATAACCCCAAGAGTTCACTAAAATAATGCTGTTGCACAATCAAATATTCAGCAATCAGCCATGAATGTACTTTTTCTATACTTGAACAGAAAATAATCTACATTGTATCTAAAGCCAGCAGAAAACACCCAGAAACTTCACTGGCAGTTTCCGAAGCATTTGTATATCACAATGCGTTGGAATACAGCGCAACTTAAAGACAACTAATTATTGCATTACGTTTTACTATCCAAGGGATAAAAATTTCTACTTCACCCTGCAAACAGTTGTCTGCAAGTCTAAAATTCCATTTCAAACTCAATTTCCTTCCATTCTTATTTTTTCTTGGAAACCAAACAAGCAGTTAAAATTACAATCCACCATTGTAATACAACAGACATACATCAAAGACAGCATAGAAACTCAGTCTTAAGAACAAATTCAACACCCTATTATCTTCTTAAGATGTTCATATATTGTTAATCAACTCCAAAGCTTTCAGTAAAGATTCTAAGGAGAAATTCGAACACGAATGAATCAATGAGACAAAGATGCCCTTACAATGTAAGAGAGATCGTTGTCCGGGTCAAGGTTTCCCTCGTCATCATCCTTGTAATTGCAAGGAGCCTCGCCTTCTTCAAGCTCAGTATTATTCCCCTCCATCACAACCAACCTTACCAAACCCTAACCCTAACCTACCTCTACCCCCAAAACCCCAACCTTTTCACCCCTTCACGCACCGACCTTCCCTAAAGTCCAGCATCAGTCCAATCCCCAAAATACCCTCTCCGACCCACCAATGCTCTCGGAAAACCCAACACAACCCAGAACCAGATTCTCCGATAACCGAACTTTCACAGTAGGAATTTCAAAACCCCCCTATGAAAAAAATCCCCAAAAATATTAAATAAAAATTCACTGAATTCATATTATGTTAAAGCTCTTCCGGTGGAAGTCTCCGATCACCGGGTTCCAGGATCGACGGCGGAGATTGGTCGGGGCCGATCAGTGCTGATTATTGATTGGCTGCAACGGGTTTCGACGGCGGAGCAATCGTATCTGATTGATTCAATTTTACGCACACTCTCTCTTCTTCTTCTTCTCTTTGTTGGTGCACAATTTTATTAATTTATTAATTTATTTTATTTCTGCCTTGCTTTCCTTATTTTTGCCCCTTTTTCTATTTATTTATTTATTTTTATTTCTGATTTGTTTCTCTCTTTGGTTTGCGATTTATTATTTAATAGGTAAATTACATTTTATTCCTCAGATTTGGGATCGATTTTAATTCCTTACAATATCCTTAAAATATTTTAATTTCATACATTTACTTATCATTTTATTTCAATTTCATACATCCGTTAGAAATTCGTTAAGTAAACCGTTAAGTGATAACGTGATGATGACATGGTTGCCAAATTTGTGTCGCATGGTAAAAAAAAATTTATACATTTAAAATATTATAATAATTTATCCTATAATAAAAAATAAAAGAAACCCATCTCCTTCCCGAGCACATCCATCCCACCCCCACCCCATCCAAAACCCACCCTCAGGCATCGAAACGCCATGTCCTGAGAGGACGAAATCGTTATGCGCGATGTCACCCATGCAAGCCTCGTCGTCGCCGACTGCATTGGCCATGAAGTCACATTGTAGCTCAATCTTGAAGAAGCCCTGAAAGCTTCCCGATACGCTAGTGTGCACGTGTTTGTGGGTGGGGTTTTGATTTGGCTTCAAATTTTTTAATTCAATGTGCAGGTGTTTGTGGGTGGGGTGGGAGATGGGTTTCTAGATGGTTTGTGGGGTGGGATGGGTGTGCTTGGGGAAGAAGATAGGTTTTTTTTTTAATAGGATAAATTATTATAATATTTTAAATGCATAAAAAATTAATTTTTTGCCATGTGGCACAAATTTGGCAACCACGTCATCACTTAACGGTTTACTTAACGGATTTTCTAACGGATGCATGAAATTGAAATAAAATGATAAGTAAATGTATGAAATTGAAATGTTTTAAAGATGTTGTAAGGAATTGAAATCGACTTCAAACCTAAGGGAGTAAAATGTATTTTACACTTATTTAATTTATTTTTTCACGTATAATTTTGGCGTATGAAAGAAAGAGTGCATTTATTACAATAGCTTCAAATTCTGGGAAATCGGAGGCATCGGTTTCTGAGGAAACGACGATGTTTGCCACGTGTTTTGAGTTAGGCGAGATATGCTGCCGCATACTTGTCACGCAGAATGTGGACCTTAGTTTTTTTATGGTTTCGAAATGTTGGATTGGGACATGATTACTTAAGCAACGTAGTATAACAATAACAAAATCGAAAATAACTCTCTTTTAATAAATAAGCATGTTAATCAACACTTAAGTAACAATCCAATCATCAATAACCATTTCATTTGGTTTACAAAATTTGGTTTCTCTAGCTTACTCATTTCTTAGTTAATTGTTGTCTTGTTCATCTTTGAGATTGCCCTTAGATTTTGCAAATCCTCACTTTGGTCGTCCTACAAGGCTGCAACCAAGTTAAAACATCTTCCGCCATCCTATACTCCGAGATTTTTAAACGTAGAACTATTGAATGCATTTCTCAACTTTTATGTTTTTTATAGTACTTACTATCCTAAACATATGAACGAGTTAAAAGTATAAGTTAGTAAACTTAATAAATGGGTTAATTACACAAACACCCCCTAAGGTTTTTTGTGTTTTTACAAAACCCCCTCAGGTTCTCAACATATCACAAACACCCCTTGATGTTTTAAAATCATTTCATCAACCTCCCTCCATGACAAAAAAAAATCTAGCAGTCATGACATAAGTTATGAAAATATAAAAATACCCTTACGAAGTTAAACTAGTGTTTGGCTACAAGTTTTAGTTAGACCTATCATTATTTAAAAGAATTTTTTTTTTTAAAAAAAAACCTAATAGTTCTACCATATAAAAACCTTTGTTCACAATAGCGTGAACACAAATATCCTTCGTTGGTTGGTTTCTCCAACCCTTGTTGCTCTAGTTGCTTGGACTAAATCTAATTAAGCTTCATTAATCAAGGTTGCTGAAATAAAGCAAAGAGCTACATTTGCCATGCAATTGAAGGTTGGTTTCATTAGAACATGTTTTTATTCGTTATTTTTCCATAATCTTGTTATAGTGTGGTTTCATTATTCTATTCTTCCCTCACCCAATGAAATCAGAAATGTCCTTTTATAATTTTCATGTCATTGTATCAAAGTTTTGTGTGGTGTAATTTTTAACGTCTTGTAGTTCATGCTTTTGTGATGATGTAATTTTGTATTTGACGTTGTGTTTATTCTACTTTTTACAGTGAGATTAGTTTAACAATATGGTAATGTTTGATATTGAGCTTCACTTTCAAAGCAACCCTACTAGAAAAAGCGTTAACATTGACAGCGATAAGTATTCCCTTATTGATTTGTATGATCATGTTTTCTCATTGTGCATTAATAAAGAAGATGCCCGTATATGGAATTTTTGGTTGAGTTTAGGCACCCAAGTACTGGTATGCTACAAGCTATAAAATCAAATGATGATATTAAAAGTAAGTTTCAGTTATTTGAATTGCACATGAAGTTTGTAGTTGATTTGTATTTTGACATAGTTAATGAGAATGAGAATGAGGGTAGCAGTGGTGACGAGGGTTGAGTACCTGAAGATATTGGTGAAGGAGAAAACGAGTTGTTCCCATTCACGGATGATGAGGACAACGATTTGAAACCTAATATAAATAGTGAAGATGTGGTTAATGGTAACGAATATGAGGATTACACATCCAATGCTACTAGTGATTATAGTATTGATGGTTATGGACAAGATTTGGACAATGATGATGGGCTTTCTGATTATAATTCGGACTCCAATCACGACAAGGTAGTTAGTTCTGAAGATGAGGAAGAGGTTGACTATATGAAGGGTTTGAGTAAGAGGCTATACAAGGATTACCTGTCAGGAAATGTGGAGTTGAAGGATGGTCAAATATTTAATGATATTAAGCATTTTCGGAATACACTTTAAGACTATGTTATACAAAAGGGATTCGAAATTCATCGAAAAAAGAATGAAAGAACTCGAGTTACTACTGTTTGTAAGGTATGATTCATTTCATACTATTTATAGTATACATGTTTAATATTATTGCTTTGCTCATGTTTTATTTTTTTATTTTATTTTTTATTTTTTTTTAAACTCAGGCTATTGGTTGTACATGGTGTATTCATGCCTCTCCTACACCCACAATGTCCTTAATAACTTATATGATTAAGTCATACAACAATGAGCATATTTGTACTAAAGGTAAGAAGAACTCTAATGCAACTTCGACCTGAATAGCTAGAAAATTGGGTAATAGGTTAAAGAGCAAGACATAAGGCTAAAGAGGTCGTGGAAGGGAAGCATGTTGCATGTTATGGTAAGTTAAGAAGATATGAGAATAAGGTTCTCAAATCAAATTCAGGGAGCATTGTGAAGATTCAGGTTGATAGAAACTTGGGGTATCCTATCTTAAAGCGTTTCTTCATTTGCTTTGCATCAATGAGAGATGGTTTTGTAAATGGATGCAGGCCTTTTATTGGAGTTTATGGGTGCTTCTTGAAAAGGTCTTTTGAAGGCCAACTATTAACCGTAATTAGTCTAGACAGTAGTTCTGAGGTGTATAGCTATGGCAATAGTTGAATTAGAGTGCACAGAAAGCTGGACATTCTTCATGACTCACTTGGAAACAATAATTGGTAGTCACAACTCAGACAACATTCCATGGACCTTCATGTCAGATAGACAAAAATGTAGCATTATTCTTATTTTGTGTTTTTAACATACTTTGACTAAATGAATTTTGTTAACAATGTTGCGTATTTCAAGCGTGTTATTGACGCAATATCAAACATATGGAACATTCTCCGCATAGACATTGTTGTAGACATATCTATAGCAATATGAGAAAAAATGAACCTTGGGTTACTTCTTCGAAGTAACTTATGAAAAGCAGCTAGAACATGTGATGTTGCGAGTTTTACAAAGGCAATGGAAGAAATAAAGAAACTTGATGAAGACGTATGGAATAGGCTAAATAAAATTTACCCTTTGCAATGGAGCAAGCATGTCTTTGATCGTCTTGTAAAGAATGATCATATTACTAACAATATGTCAGAATCATTTAATTCAGTGGTGAACAAGTGGAGAGGAAAACCAATATTAATGTTCATTGATACAATTAGGGAAACAATGATGAGACAATATCCAAATAGATGTACAAGAGGGATGGAATGGCCTACTAGGCTAACTGAAGGCGCAAGAATGAAGTTAAATACAAATGTGCAAGAATGTAGGAACATTACAGTAGCTCATGCAGGTAATAATTATCAAATTGTTTTTATTTATTCCATAGTATATCTTTTTCTTTTTTTTTTTCTGAAACACTTAGTATGACTTTTTTTTTATTGGACCAGGTGAAGACGAGTTTGAAGTGCATGACATTTCCCAAAAGCACATTGTGCAATTGCCTACAAGCCACTGCAGTTGTATGGAATAACAAATTAGCGGGATTCCATGTAAGCATGTGTGTGCATGCATTATATGGAAGAGAGCCAACCCAGAAGACTACTATCATGAATTCTTCACCAAAGAGAAGTAAGTGGCATCATACTTATATCATATTCACCATGTTCCAGATGAGAGATATTGGGCAGACGACCCTTATGTTGCCATTCATCCCCCACCCTTAAGGAAACCCCGTGGGAGGCCCACAAAAAATAGGAGAAAAGAGGCGGATGAACGGGGGAAAGAGAAAGAGATCTTATGCATTATCATGCAAAAATTATGGTACATTGGGTCATAATAGAAGAAGATGCCCAAATGGAAATCTTGAAATGTTTCAAAGAAGAGGTGTGAATGATGCAAGGGGAACGGGAAGAGCGAGTAGATGAGTCGATGCACGAAGGAGAACTGGTAACATTAGGAGAGGAGGTCAGAATCTATATTTTCATATTTACTGGCTACTACAATTTGATATTTTGTTTTTGTTTTTACATATGAATTCATTCTTCACAATTTCATTTAATTTTTGTATTTATGTTAATAGTGCCAAACGAGGGAATT